GAAGACGAGAGTATTTTCCTTCTTTTTTTCCACGAGAGTAATTAGAGTAAGACTTTACTCCATTTATATCCTATGGTTGATCGGCTATACATTTTATTCACCAGGGAAATAATATTAGGTTCTTACCACTCAGTTTACCAATCCATAGTTACGCAGTTCAGTCTGATACATTACATATATAAATATAATAATTCATAATTCAAGTTTTTTAGCATTACATGAGCATCATCAACGATAGCTTTAGGGATATGATAGATCCAGCTCTACGGAATACGAATGCCTACAGTGCCAGTAAGAGATGTCATTTATGAAGATCGAGAAACCTAAACATATCAATTTACCCAGTAGGAGAACTGAACTATTATATTTCCACAAAGGTATGAAATACTGTATTGATTAATGCTTGAAATTCGATTTTCTTTGTAATATCCTAGAATCAATTTTAGCCTACGCCAGTCAAAAATGTGGCTCTTTCTCGCTCCCAGGTATAGTTTTCTATTTATTAGCCTTAATTCTGCTTTTAATGTACATCTAGCAAAATTAGCAATATTCTGACCCTAATGAATTTGAGTATTTGGCGATCATATTTATCACTTTCATAATCTCTATATTTCCCATTTATTTTAGTTTTTATCATACTTTATTCAATTTTAATCATACTTTTAATCATTGTAAATTTTCTCAGGAAATATTCCTTATCCTTTTATTTGGTATATAATACCTTAAATACTATAAAACATTCCAATTCACTCGGCAACTCACACTGTTGTAGTGCCCATTTATTTATATTTGAGAATCTGATGTTCATATTTGTCAGTCACAGCAAACATTACTAAAGTAAGTAACCATGCATGCTTAATGTTCAAGGAAATCTTTTCTGCTATCATATTTTATAATGTCATGATACTTGATTATCATCTTTTGTAGTCGGTCCTTTATTCATTATAATGAACAAAAGAGAATGGATAATCAAGCTGAGACAGGATGCTGACCCATTGGTATGTATACCTTTATAAGAGGTCTCGACTGATTCACAAAACTACATCCATCAGTTGACTGTCTGTAAAAGCTAATGGACTTCAACAAATTTCAGTTAACCTTATGAAAAAAAGTATTTGTAGCTGTCTCAACAATTGGAATATGGTTTGGTTATAACTTATAAGCTCGATTTCGTGATGTATGTTGTCAAGTATTATTTTAGTTGGTTTGTGTTGTTGTTTGAGTGTGTTTAGTCTGGTGTGGTACATTTACATCACTGTACCTGAAAATCGCTTTAAACATTAAATTGGTCAAAAGATCTTTTTGTTGTTTTATTCTAGTCCAGTTGTCATTTATTTGCTTGGCACCTTTGAACATTATTGTAAGTGTTTTATTGGTTGATGCTTCCACAAGAACTAATTTGTTACAGACCGAATACTCATGAACTCAGTCCCTGGATTTTATTGCATTTACCGCTAGGGTCGTGATGAGGTCGTCGATATCACGCCCTCTGCCTGCCTCTCTCGTCCTGCTGCATGTGTGCTAGGAAGGAGAGTTAAGGTATACTTACTGGACTAACTTTGTTGTTTATTGAGCACAGGCAGCTTAAGAATAAAGCACATGGAATTGTTTTGCCGAATGATTCTCCATGCATAGCTGTATCTGGACTATACATTTTGCAGGTGCATTTAACCCGTTTCGCCCGGGCGTACTTGCTAACACAGGCTCAACTTCGGGCTTTGTTTAAGTTTGAGTCGCGGTCTCAGCGATCAACAAGTCTTTGGTTTCACATCCGCAGATGCAAGCACACACTAGTTCATGGGAGATTGTCTGCTATTTCACATCGTGCCCAGGTGATGGATTGACACGTTGTTTTCCATCTGAGTGTTTATATTAGTCTATCATATGTTCTCTATCTCCTTCTCTCATCTCTTCTCTCTCTCGGTTTCTCTCTTTTCCTGTCTCTTTTCCTCTCTCTTCTATTCTTTTGCGTCCAGGTAATTTGTGTATGTTTTTTGATTTTTTGAGTTAGGTGGGTTGTTTGTGAGTTGTTTTTGGTATTTTGGTTGTTGGTTGGTGGTGTTGGTTTGTTGGGTTTGGAGTTGTTTGAGTTGTTTTTATTTTTTTTATTTTGTTATGTTGTTTTTTATGATTAATTTCTAGAATATGATATGCCAGTAGTTTAGAGTTGAGGTGGAGAGAGAGAAAGAGAACAGAGAAAAGATGAGATGAGAGAGAGAGAGTAGAGAGAGGGGGACAGTGAGGGAGAGTTGATAGGCAAGCCCGCCGTCCAATCAGGAGAGAGCTCTCAGCGTGATTTAGAGCCGCGGGGCTGCGAGGGGGAGGCGCGATGCGGGAAAAAGGCAAATAGCTGAGTGAACAGCGTCAGTAGAGAGTGTAGTGGAGGTGACCGCAGTGAGGGAGCAGGGTGCCAACAGGAGCCACAGAGGCGCAAAACGCAAACAGGACAAAGTCTGACATTTGCGCTGCGACCAGGGGCCACCGCAGAGGACAGAATGCGCCTTTTCTTTTTTCTTGTGTGGATTACGATTTCTTTTCGTCCAACTCCTCTCCAGACTGGTTCCATCACTCCGTCAGAACTGCGCTTCACTGGAATGTGCGCTGCAGCCTCTCCGTGACGCGTCTAAAGAGCAAGACAGCGGAGCCAGAACAGAGGGGGAAAAATAATGTGCAGTCATTAAAACTGCTTTCAAACCTCCAAAAATGCCTCTCTGTTGATGGGACACATTCCTTCGCACGCCTCGCTCGTTTCTGGAGACTTTTACGCATTTTGGAGACTTTTTCTCCCGACTGAAATGGCTGATGAAAATTGATATTTTATCCGTTCACAGAGGATAATACGCTTTATAATCTTTTTTATTTTTATTTTTTACCCAAGTGCACTTTTTTCCCGGCGATGATTGTGCTTTTGATTGTCCTGTGCATCACCGATGGAGTGCTCTCTCAGATTCGCTACTCTGTGCCGGAGGAGGCGGACCATGGCACCTTGGTGGGGAATATCGCCGAGGACCTGGGACTGGACCTTACCAAACTGGCCTCCCGCCGCTTCCAGGTGGTGCCCAGCTCTCGGACACCGTACCTGGAGGTGAACCTGGAGAACGGCGTCCTGTTCGTTAACGAGAAGATCGACCGGGAGCAGATCTGCAAGCAGAGCCCCAGCTGCCAGCTCAACATGGAAGTGTTCTTGGAGAACCCGCTGGAGCTGTTTCGGGTCGAGATCGAGGTGGTGGACATTAACGACAACCCGCCCAGCTTCCCGGAGACAGACATCACGGTGGAGATCTCGGAGAGCGCCACTCCGGGCACCCGTTTCCCCCTGGAGAGCGCGTTCGACCCGGACGTTGGCTCTAACGCTTTACGCACGTATGATATCACCACAAATAACTACTTTTATCTGGACGTGCAGACCCAGACGGACGGGAACAAGTTCGCGGAGCTGGTCCTGGAGAAACCGCTGGATAGGGAGCAGCAGGCGGCGCACAGGTACGTACTGACCGCGGTGGACGGCGGTCAGCCTCCCCGGACTGGCACCGCGTTGCTGGTGGTCAAAGTGCTGGACTCTAATGATAATGTGCCGGTGTTTGACCAGCCCGTTTACACGGTGAGCCTCTCGGAGAACGCGCCGGTGGGCACGCTGGTCCTACAGCTGAACGCCACTGACCTGGACGAGGGATTAAACGGGGAGATAGTTTACTCCTTCAGCAACCACATCTCCAACCGCGTAAAGGACCTGTTCAGCATAGACCCGCGCACCGGGCGCATCGAGGTGCGCGGAGAGGTGGATTTCGAGGAGAGCAGCCTGTATCAGATCTTCGTGCAGGCCAAGGATATGGGACCAAACGCGGTGCCAGCGCACTGCAAAGTGCTGGTCAAAGTCAACGACGTGAACGACAACGCGCCCGAGATCACCTTCAGCACCGTCACCGAGTCAGTGAGCGAAAAGGCGGCTCCCGGCACCGTCATCGCGCTGCTGAGTGTGACGGATAAGGACGCAGAGGAAAACGGACAGATCCACGTGGAAATCCTCGGTGAAGTCCCGTTCAAATTAAAATCTTCCTTCAGGAATTATTTCACCATAGTGACCGACGGCCCGCTGAACCGGGAGCTGGCGGACCACTACTCCGTGACTGTGGTGGCGCGGGATAAAGGGACGCCGTCACTGGCCACTAGTAAGTCCATCCGAGTCCAGGTGTCAGACGAAAACGACAACGCGCCCACTTTTACGCAGCCCATATATGATGTGTATGTGACAGAGAACAACGTGCCAGGGGCGTACATACACGCTGTAACGGCTCAGGACCCGGACATCGGCCAGAACTCGCTCATCAGTTACTCCATATTAGAGTGTGACATCCAGGGCATGTCTGTCAAAACCTATGTGTCCATCAACGAGGAGACCGGCTATCTGTATGCGCTCAGGTCCTTTGATTATGAGCAGCTGAAGGATTTCACATTCATGGTTCAGGCCAGAGACGCGGGCACCCCAGAGCTCTCCTCCAATGCCACAGTCAAAGTCATCATTGTGGACCAGAATGACAATCCCCCCCTAGTGCTGTCCCCCCTGGGGAAGAATGGCACAGCCAAGGAGCCCCTGCCCCGCTCAGCTGAGCCGGGCTACCTGGTAACCCGCATTGTTGCTATGGACGCGGATGATGGTGAGAATGCCCGGCTGTCCTACAGCATCCAGAGGGGGAACGAGAACGGCATGTTCAGGATGGACTGGAGGACAGGTGAGCTCCGGACAGCGAGGCGAGTGTCGCCCAAGAGAGACCCCCACCAGCTGTACGACCTGCTTATTGAGGTGAGAGACCACGGCCAGCCGCCGCTGTCGTCCAGTGCCAGCATTCTGGTGATGCTGGTAGACAGTGTGGCTGAAGGCCGTGGTGGTGGGGACCGGGGAGGCACTGCCAAGGCCAAAGATGGCACCCTGGACCTCACCCTCATCCTCATAATTGCCCTGGGCTCCGTCTCCTTCATCTTCCTCCTGGTTATGATCGTGCTGGCTGTGCGCTGCCAGAAGGACAAAAAGCTCAACATATACACCTGCCTGACCAGCGAGTGCTGCCTGGGCTGCAGCTCCTGCTGCTCACGGCAGGGAAGGGCCCGCAAGAAAAAGCTCAGCAAGTCGGATATCATGCTGGTGCAAAGCGCCGGCAACGTCAGCGGAGCCGGTACGGCTCAAGTCCCCGTGGAGGAGTCAGGGAGCTTCGGCTCCCACCACCAAAACCAGAACTATTGCTACCAGGTATGTCTGACTCCAGAGTCTGCCAAAACCGACCTCATGTTCCTAAAGCCGTGTAGTCCATCTAGGAGCACAGACACCGATCACAACCCGTGCGGGGCCATAGTGACAGGGTACACAGACCAGCAGCCTGACATCATATCAAACGGCAGCATTTTATCAAACGAGGTAAGAGTCCCTCTCATACCTACAGTTTAACCCCCCCACCCCGTTCCATTCAGAGACCCTCAGCATGTCTAAAACCTGAGAAGCCTGCCTGTTTGGTATAATTTAAACAAACATCCGTACAAGCTGGATACAAAAGCTGCTTCATACAGGGGCCATTTTCCATTTCCTAAATGTTGTACATCAGTTCAGTGGTATGCCGACATCGTCTGACTGATTTCACAAGAGGCATTAAAGCAAACACAGTGATTAGACTACCGGTTGCTGACATGTTGCCTTTGGCAGTCCTCAGGAAGCTCAGCCCTGAAACAGCAATGATTGCATGTTTATGTTGTTCTCCCAAGACTTACAAGAAATAAAAAGAAAAACAAATCTGAATAAGAGAACGACATAAGAATGGCTGCTGGTTGCTGTGGGTGCATCTATTTGTGTGTGTGTGTGTGTGTGTGACCCAGTCCCGGGGGGAGAGGAGCGTTCACATTAAGCATACTGGTCACAAAGTTGCTGAGTCGCACTAGAACAAAGATGCGTGTCTTGGCTGTGCCAGCCCTGAATAGGTGCATTACTTCATCTTGTGCCTTGGCAACATATCTGAAAAGCCCTCCTCCCCTCCCCTCCCCCCTGTGGGAAACAGCACACCTCCTCAAAAACACACAAGTGATACGTGTAATGGCTGAACACAGCTAACATCAACTTGGAACTGTGTGGGTTGTGTCATTTCTGATGTGTCTTGTTTTTTTTGTTTTTTTTTATGCTTATCGCGTTACGCAAGGTGCTCGAGCGCCAGGCACTGAAAACTGCCCCCATTCTCTTGCAGACCAAACACCAGCGAGCTGAGCTCAGCTACCTGGTCGACAGGCCAAGACGCGTCAACAGGTAAATATGGAGAAAGGGAGTCACTGCAGCCTAGGGATGGGAATCGAGAATTGTCCGATCCATCGGAGTTGCAAAACAATGACGTCAAACTCATGCATCTACACTGCCAGAGGAAACGGTCTAAAGCGTGGCCTTATTTCATTAAGACACTCAAACTACTATCAATGTTTTTAGACTGTAGAGTTGCATTGATGCTGAGAACGTGTGCAGAACTACTCTTCCACACAGGAAATTGATCAGGATTCGATAAAGGAATTGACAAAGAATCAGGGTACAAATCATATACTTCATGAAGATTGAATGCACAAATGAATGCAAGATGTATCATGAATTCTTGTTGATCATTAACAAATGATCAAGTCACTGGGACTTTTTGTGGTTCAGTTCAGGAATGTATATTCTTACATTAATCAATGCAACCAAATTAGCAGGATTCCAGTCACATTAAAGCTTTCTGTAGGATCAGGCATTTGCTTAAAACCCCTGACACATTTACCACATAATGGACAAATTAGAGGAGAACGATCAGCCAGCAAACAAACACAAATTTTTTTTAAATGTGTCAAAAAATACCACTGGGAAATATGAAGCTATTTGTTCGTTATCAGAAAGGCTGAGGAAATGCAAGGTCCTGAAAAAAAGACTTTAAGAGTACTCCATCTAACTGGTTGCATATCAATTAATGTATGTATTCATATTCCTTAATTGATGACTTATTATGTGGGAACTAATCACAGAAAGTCATTTGTCAGTGGTGAGCAACAGGAATTCATGATACGTCCTGCATTCGTTCATGCATTAAATCATCATGAGTCGTGCATTTAGGTCGTACTTAAGTAATTTAAGTATATGATTTGTACCCTTATTATCAAGCGTTACCAAATCGATAATGGTATTTGTATCAATAAAATGTTATCAGATCCCATCCCTACTGCAGCCTCTCTGCTGCTGTCACATCCAGCTGTAATAACCCTCTTATCTGTCGCCTGCCTCATTCGCTGATAAGTCTCATTAATGTGACGATGCTCTCGATGATAAGATGGCATCAGAGAGATTAGAAATGCGCGGCGGAATAATAACAGATGAAAAACATAAAAATAAAAAAAATAAAAATTCTCTTTGGTTTCAGTTCAGCATTCCAGGAGGCGGACATGGTCAGCTCCAAAGACAGCGGCCATGGAGACAGTGAGCAGGGGGACAGCGACCACGACGCCACCAACCGAGGCAATTCCTCCGGTAAGAGCTGCCTTTTTTTCCAGCATTTGATTTGTTAAGCTGCACGTTCAGAGGGCGGATCAATGGCTCTCTGGCTTCTTTAGGACTGGAGTGGGCGTTGCTGATTAGCATGTGGTTACTATGCAGTGTGGGTCCGAGAGCAGGTTGTTGCCCATCCCTGTAGCGCTGAAATGTGGACTCTTCTTTCTCAGTTTGTGAGAAGAATGAAAGCTCATTTTAATAAGGGCTAACATCACACACAAGTGGAGTTAGCATCACCTGAGGCATTTGAGTAAGTCCGACAGGTCCGATCAGCTTTTATGCTGATGCTGTTGTACTTGAGACATTCTGATTTCTCTCCAGTGACATGTGGCTTGTGATTTCATGTCATCGCTTAAAAAAAAAAAAAAAGATAAAAAGCTTTTGGATCTGCGGTCACTTGACACATGAGGTTTTCTCCCGTGTTGGCGAGCAGAAGCCGCCCGCCCCGCCGCGCCCTTGTTTGTGCTAAATTAATGAGGAGCCCGCTCCCTGTGAGCTCGGTCACTCGGTGCTGGAGACCACTGCGTGAGACATGACAGGCTTTTTAATGAGGCCGCGCTCGCTCCGGAGAGTTGGGAAGAGGACCAAATAGGTTGCGGCCGTCGCAGACAAAACAGACGATTCATCCGTTCATTAAATTAATTAATGCATTCATTTATGCAGTTACTCCTTTTCTCCCATCTTCCCTGACCACATTCTTCCACATCCATCCTTTTTTTAATCTCCCTCTCCTAAAGGAACCCATCTGAGCTCACACAATAGGGCCCCGCTGAGTTATGAATGCTGGTTTTATGTCTTCATTCAGTGGCAAGCTTTCTTTGGTGCGGGCCTTCTGTGTACGGAGCCTGTCATCGTGTCTGGTCAGCCGCAGCAGGGGCCCTCGCCGGTGCCAAATGGAGCCACTTTCACTGTCACTCCAGTGGGCCTAGCTGGGTTACACAGAGAAACACACAGAGCCGGACCCCCTCTCTGCCCCCTGTTTTAGCTCTAATAAGCTGCAGCTTTTTCTCTCTCACCACGGCAGAACACTCACTCCTAATCGGACCGAGCCAGCCAGCTGCTTTATGTGGATGGAGTTGTCCTATTTCCAGTGCATTAGCATTTCATGTGAACGCTGCCAGCCAGAGTTCATCTTCTGTTATGAATAGTCTTTCACACAAGTAGGGCTGGATGTGACTTGGAATTTATACTTGAGTTTGGTACAGGTTTCTGTTTTTGATGCCTTACTTTGAGGAAATAGACTCTTTGTTTTATCGATTTGACAAAGCAGGAAAAGTTGGCGAATGGTTGAGATTTGTGGCTAAAACTCTTTATCAGATTTTCGAAACCAACAGGGGTCCTTGCTAGCGGGTCTGTAGAGGTCCCCAGCAAAGGAAGAGCGATGTTTTAAGCTTTTAGTAAATTTTTAGGATGTTGGAACAAGGATTAATCCTAGTGAAGTTTTATCAGTGATTAATTGTGAAAGACTTTAATAATCTTTAAACCTAAAAATAAAAATAAGGATTCCTGAAGACAAATCCTCTCAAATTGGGTTAGGGTTATGTTAATATTAATATATCAATCCATTAATCAAATGACCACTTTACTAACAGCCACACACTTTGTCCATTTTGATCGGCTGGGAAATAAAGTAAGTAAGTAAGTAAG